TGGATAGCTGGCCAATCACAGCATACCTCGCTTTTTCAGACCGATGAGCTTTGTAAAAATCGACGCGTTTCAAAAAGGCGGGGCATAGAGGAGAAACAATAATGTACAGTATGTGGAAAATAATGTGTTTTTTTAACTTTAAACCGCATAAACACATTTCATTACACCAAATACACAAAAGAATGTTCTTTTTAGCAACATCATATGACCCCTTTAATACACACACATGATTGATACACACACACACACAGGGCTCCGGTTCCCATGGCGACGTACCCGTGGTACTCGATGTACTTGTAGATCATGCCAGCGATCACCATGGCGACGATGGCATAGTACCACGAGGAAATGAACATGAGAGCCAAACAGATCATCATGCCGAGAAACGACAGCGTCCTGACGACCACAGGAAATGACATCATTAGACAGGGGAACACACAGGGGAGTCAAGTCAAGTCAAGTCACCTTTATTTATATAGCGCTTTTAACAATACAGATTGCCAGTGGTAGTAGGAGAAGCGTGGTCTCCAGTTGGGCGTCCTGAGCAGCGTCTGCAGAGCACAGGCCAGATTCACAAACAGGTAACACATCAGGAAGAACCTGCAGACGGAGAACATCACACACACAACAGCAGCGTTAGAGAACACTGATGACACGTGCATTACAGCCTTATTCATGAACATTGATTCTGAGCTTAAGCGGTCTCACATGGAGAGAATGGGAGCGACGAGGTCCAGTGAAGCGATGAGGATCCCCAGCTCTGCCAGAACCGCCGTCAGTAGCAGAGCCCACGTCGGCTCTCCATTGGCCTTACCGTGACCGAACACCTGCAGAAACACGGCAGACACCACGATCTGAGCGCTGGACCATCAGCTGTCACGTGACGCTCTCTTTCGTTCGTTCACTTTCTTTCTTTATTAATATAATAATAAATCAATATATATCACATAATCAAATATATTATTTACAAAAAATATTATTATTATACAAAATATAATTATTATAATTAAATATATATTATATACTATTGAATAAATACAGTGCTTATTCTGACGTGTGCATATTAAAATATATAAAAGAATAAGAGAGCAGATTAAATTTGATTGTGTTTTAAAAGAGTAAAAATTCTTACTGACAAACGGGCAAAACCTCGGATAGTGGCACATTTAAAAAATGTTAAAATAAGAACTAATTAGTATTTGGGGTGAAAGTAATTAGTCTTTTAATATGTCATAAATTGATTTTTGTTGTAAACATGCCTGACAAGATTGTTACACTGAATGACATTCTAGTGGGTCTCTTCTGTAAATCAGGGGAAAATGTATGATATTTATTTTTTGCTCAGAAAACCAAAAAAAAAATACAATTAAATTAAACAGAAAACTTTTTAAATTTTTGGGGGAAAAACAACAACAATTTAAAGCAGTATTACACTTAATGTTTTTATGCTTAAACCCTTTTTTGTCTTTGACGCATACACACACATATATATATATATATATATACGTACCCTCAGGAAGGGGATGATGTTGTCTTTAGCGATGGCCTGCAGCAGGCGAGGAGCTCCGGTCAGCGATTGGAGGCCGGCGCCACACGTGGAGAAAAACGAGCCAATCACGATCACCCAGGGGGAGGGCCATGAGAGCGTCCCGACCACCAGATTCCCCTTCACCGAGTCTCCGAACCTGAAGCACAGTCAGAGCATCAGAAACACGACATCCGCATTCCCAGAAGAGAAGACGAGCGACGGAAGGAAGAGACTAACTTGTCTCGCAGAACCACGCCCTCCACACAGGATCCAAACAGCAGCACACAGCTCAGATCTGAGAGAGACGCAGGTTCAGGAAACATCCGACTGTGAAAATGAACTGAACTCGATTTGAGCGTCTTCTTATATTCGAAATAATATAAAGTAAATATTTTAGGGCAAAGAAGCTGACAATTAATAAAGGGGCTGAATATTATTATTAAATATCGTCATTATTAGAGCCCGAATGAGAGAGCTCTGTCTCGTCCTCACGTGTGTGAGTGTGTGTGTGAGTGTGTGAGAGAGTGTGTGTGTGTGTGAGTGTGTGTGTGTGTGTGTGAGTGTGTGTGTGA